ACCGGCATGTCAGAGTAATCGATTTGCCGCTCCAGCTTTTGTGAGCAACGGCAGTCAAGTGCATCTGCCTCGAACTGGACGACAAGGTTCAGGTCGCCCAAAGAGTATGAGATCACTCTGTGGTGGCTGGAGGATTTCGACAACCGTCCTTCTTGCGTGGTACATGAGGCTTCAAACCCCCGTCCATACCCACGGCATAGCGAGGTCTGGCTCATGTTATCCTCCGCCCATGCCTACGGAGCTTGCGCGCGGCGTTACCGCTGTCCAACCAGTGCCATTGACGGCTGATTGTAGCCCAAAGGAGGTGACTCCCCCTTCGTACATGACGACGGTGATACCACGCTGAGTCATCGGATCCGTGAAGTTGTGGAGTACGGTTGTGTGGTTCAGTCGCTTCAAGTCGATGACCAGCCCACGCGAAGAAGAGGCTCCAGTAAGCGAGTGACCTCCACTCACGAATGCGTAGTCTCTCCCGAGTGGCGTCTTCATCGTTGCTTGGACAGCAAGGCTGACATCCTCGCTACTTGCTGGCGTGACAACTACCGAAGCGTCGTTGACAAGCTGCGCCGCCCAGTATCTGCCTGTGCTGTCTGCCGTCTGGCGGTTCTGCCGGCATGTGATTGTCGAGTCTTCACTAAGCCTTGAGCTCAGCCATTGCAAGCCGGCATCCTCGATCGACGCAGAGTCTACTTCGATTGGTTCGTGCAATGGTGAAGAGAGAAAAGTAGAGAGAAAGGGATAACACGAGAATTAGTCGCATGGTCGAAACGGCTTTTCGCAATATCGGAGGCGGCCTGGTTGACGAATCGAGGTGTCTAGATGTAAGGATGGCCGAGCCTGGCTGAGACGCAATGCGGAGATTTCTGGAGGTTTCAGGAAAGCGCCGCTGGGGACTTGCCTGTGAATTTAAGTCCTGATGGCGGAGAGCAAGTGACCGTCGGCCACTGCCAAGGTCTCATTGCCTGCCCATCTTCGGGGCCTGCGCCTTGGGGCTCTACAGACAAGAAGCCCCACCGCTAATGCAATACTGTAGGATTTGTATTCGGAGAGTCCTCGGGCAAGCATCACGCAACTCGGTATCTCTTTCACGCGCTACCCTCTGCGTCTTCTTTTTCGACCAGTCACAGGCCTTTAGCGACCTTCGAATGCTGTCTTCGGAACCTCTGAGTTCGAACTCATCCGGGGTCGTTGATTCAAGCGGGGTTGTGTGGTAATTCGCCATGCTGGAATCAATTATAAGCCTGGAGGCAGTATGTCACGGCAGCATGGTAGCAGAGAGTCAACAATAAGGCGGTCCTTTGGAAAGCTGAGTTCTGCGCTAAAGTGCCGGCCGATACTTTAGCGCG